CTCTCTGAAAAAGAGAGATCTCGCCGTGAAAAACGTCGTGGAATGTTCGGAGCGAACAACAACAACAACAACAACAACGTCGAAATGCAAAATGCTTTCCTCGCGTTCCATTGTGAGCAACGACAATCACACATTGTTACCGTTGCGACACATAATGTCGTTAAGATCGTTTCGCCGATACGACGGCGACTGTTACGGTAATTTAGCGTGGCACGTTTATTTTCCCGCAAATTATACGACGCTTATTATTGTCCGGTTACCGTTTGTTATACCCTCGCGAAAACTTACTGCAATCGCGCTGCGTCGGCCAACGCGTAGCTCACGTAGACCGCTTGTACATATTATTGCGAATTATGGGAAATATGCAGCGACGAGAGTTATAATTGAGAAATTTCCGCTGGCGTTTCGTATATGATGCATTCCTTTGTACCGTTGATGGTTGTATGAATAATTGCGAGTTATATGGATACGATTCTCTTCCCGTAATAAATAGTGTGTGATAGAGTTTCGCGCGCAAGTAAGGCAATTTTTTTTCTCCGTCATCACAGAATAATTCCAACGGCGTGTACAAATTACAACAAAAAACAAAATGGGTAATCGTGTATTTATGTGATACGTGGGAGTGTTTGATCATTTTTTGCTGATTATTGAAAACTATTATCAAACGAAATTGACATTACTAGTACAACACAAGCGCGCGCTAAGCGCACGCTATTATTGTCTTTATTTTAACGTGCTGTGTAAGTGAACACGCACGCAACCTGTCACTGCGATGACAGCTAGTATATACGTCTTACAAACCATGTAATACACATTAGAGAGATGTCAGAAATAACGCGTAAAAATCAAAAAAATAGTGAGAGGACGGAGTGGAAAACGTAACTAAAGTCACGTGACTGTATTTTAGTCACGTGTCATTAAAAACGTGACTAAAGTAAAGTCACGTGACAGGGAGGAGAGGAAAAACACCACGTGACCTTAGTCAATTACAAAGGAATTCTTTTGTAATAGTGTGCATAGACACCGAAAAAGATACCACGATGGATTGACAACGTTTTGTCAAACGTTTGTCAAATCTCTGAAGAATGTTACCCGAACAGGTGTACATCTCGTCATTGCCTTCTCCCTTTCTTCTTATTGGAATAATAATAACGTTTCTGGAAAAACGTGAATTTCTCACTTCGAAACTTTATATCGTCGCATATCTTCAAATTAGAAGTACAAACAGAAAAAAACGCGAGAATACTTTTGTTTCTGGTGTTTTGTTCTGTAGCGATTGAGATCAAAACGAAATTAATCGGTTCAGTCGTTCTTGAGATATATCTATTGCTCCGTGAAAATCTCCTCACTTCTCAATCGCGTGAATTTCGCGTATAAGAGGCACTACCGTGCCTCTTGATTCGCACGACGTCAATCGAGAACCACATTCGGGAGAAACGTCTAATCACAGATAAAAGCGGCAACAATCAATATCGAGAGAATCGATTGTGATTATTTACACATATCGTGCGATGTGACATAATAAAATGTGTACGGAGATAAAAGTACTTTGCTATTGTACTCTTACGAAAAAGCGCAAGAAAATTGTATTTCTTTTTTATATTAAGTTCGAATCGTTCGAACGTTATAAAACATTTATTGCGGCGAATTGTAGCGTAATTCGAGCTTTTTTTTTATTTAAACCGCAACTTTATTTGCATGTTTTTGAACAAGATGAACGCGTGTAATATAACGGGTTAGGAAAAATATTTGCCTTGCACATCGAGACGAAGACGTCGATTTATGTCGCGAAAAAGACCGCGGCGTGTCACGTATTCCCTGAGAAATATCGTCTGGTGATGGACGATGGCAGCGCGAGGTGCTGCCAGTGCCTTGCGCGAGAATCGAAATTATTGGCGAGAAAGCAAGATGGAAAAGACGAACGATCGGTGGTTGGAAACCAAGATGGAACAGACGACGACGATGTCGACGAGGAAGATCGTAAAAGAGAAAATGCGACGATCGTGCGTCGTTCTCTCTTCTCTCTCGTCTTTCTTCTCTCTCTTTCGATACTCTCGCCTCAAAATCGCATCGTCCCGTCCGTTCCCGCGCTCTCGCGCAGATCAACACGACGGATAAATCGACGGGAGAGCGTTTTTTCGTAAAATGAGATTTCGGACGGGAATTCGGCGACGGCGCGAAAAATTGCTGCAGCGACAGAGAGAACGGATTGTCCTCCTTAATCGGATTGCCGAACGACGAAATATGGCGTGCGAGTGCGCCCGCACACCGCGCGCGCGCGCGTTCGCGATTTTATCGCGTTCGGCCGCGTCGACATTTTCATATTTTCGAAAATTGCGAGGTTCTCTCATTCGATTTTGCCGCCGGACGAGATTAGCGGCCCTCGACGCTTTTATCGCGGGAATTTGTCGGGAAACCGTTCTTGATAGTGTCTCGTTTGGTAGTTACATGTGTGATCGAAAACTGCAAATTTCCGCCATGTCCTCAGCTAAAATTGATACTCCGTTTTACGCTGTTTAGTTTCGTCTTTTGATTGAAAAATCAATTTATAGACATTTTTCTTACCTCGTAGGAAGGCCGGCATTTTTCCGGCATTGAAATTTTTAAATTTTTTTCGCGGAAAATTGTACACGTACGTAACCTATATATATGTATCATACAGTTGCTCTGTTGTTGGCTTACGGGCCACAGTTCGAAGGCTTTTAAAGGTTAAACTCAAGTTATATTCGACATCATGTAAACATCTCTGTGTAAAATTCAACAAGCAAGTTTTAAGAACCGTCAGACGAAACGTGCTCTTCCAAAAGAAAATATATATAAATACGTCTTTTCATCAAATTGTAAAAAACAACGTCGGACAAAAAAGTTTCGAAAATTTTTCGTTGAAAAACATTTTATCCGACAGAATAGCGTACGCGTTCAAAATATGTTTACGTTTTTGGGAATGATTGCGCGTTTGTAATAACAGCGCGCGGTGGATGCGTTTTTTTATTGCTCAACGGTATCAGTCAGCAGTTCGAAATACGTTTCGAACGTGGAAAAAAAAAAAAAAAAAAAAAAAAAAAAAAAAAAAAACAGGGTGGAGTAACGAAACGCAAAATTCGCATCCCCGAAAGTTATCCTCTCGTGCACACATATTGATTTTGCTTTTAGCGAATGCGTATATGTCGAATCGAAGGAAGGATTGTGGGATCGATAATTAGTCCTGTTGACATTGCTCGTCCAGGTGTGTATCTATATATAGATGTACCCACATTGCGTGCACGTGTGTACCCGTCTCGGGCAAATCCCTGTCGCAAGGTGGTCTATCGCGCGGGCGTATCCTTTGATCCTGATATTAGTCACGCGCCGATTTGGTTGTCATTAAAATCACCGAACCGCGATTGCCGCAGCTGAATCAGCAGCACGTCTCGATTATTTCATTTTCGGCCAATCGCCGTTGGCTCGTTTGCCGCCGCTTGTAAACTGTTTATCTTTGTTCCAAATTAAATAACAAAAGACAAAACCAGAGAGAGAAAACAATTTCTTTTCTCTCTCTCTCTCTCTCTCGTCGAGAGGTTCTCTTTATCCTGCTCAGAATAATTCATACGCGCTCGACTATATTTTTTCTCCAGATAACATATGAATATCAAGTGCGCCAAACCATTGACGCAGCTGCTTTGTACCTTGGAATATTAAAAGCTCGAGATACAATTTTTTTGCATACTATGAATTTTTTAAGTCTCTCGCGCGCTTTGCATGGAAAATATAAAGAGTAAATCCAACAAACTTGAAACATTATGCGAATATTCAAGGTTGAATATTAATATCCGCGCATTAACATCTTTTTGCGTTGGATTAAAATTAGTGAGAAACGGTGCGCACCTTCCTCTAGTGCTGGATATGCAAATTGCCGCACGCGCGCATAAAACTCGACTATTTAATGTTTACGAATGACCGTTACATTCTTTCGGTTTTTGAATAAGAGCACATTTGTTTTTTTTTCTTTTTTTTTTCTTCCAGTTCACATTGCAATTTTGATAAAACGGATTAACGCACTCAAATTGGACTCGTAATTCGAACCGCATTGGCCTTAGTAGCAGTTTCGCGCAAGAACGTGCGGTATGATCGTCACTGATTTTCCGTAATTGTCGCCACCGCCATCGCCGTCGCTGCTGCGAGGTCAGCCGCAGCGAAAATGCACCGCGACGTCTCTTCCGCACCGTCGGCGGCGTATTAGCACCGAGAATGCAAATAATTGTTCGCTGCGGTATACATACGTGTGTGTGTGTGTGTGCGTGCGCGCGCGCGCGCGCGTGTGTGTGTATTAGGGTGGCGAAACCGACCCCGGATTGTAAATAGAGCCGACTTCTCGTGATGCTCCTGCCGCGAACAGGCTCGTGTCGGTTTGTTCGCTGATGTGGATACATATGTCTCTTTGTGTGTGCGCGCACATAACACACGCTCGACCGATGGATCATCCTATCCGCCGAGGTCTCGGTGAAGAGCCAAACCCTTAATGCTCTGCGCGAAAACCAAGCGTATTCTCAAAAATGCATGTGCAAACAACGACCGTACACAAATAAGACATTTTTTTAAAACCGCGTCTTCTCTTTTCACATTTCGAGAAATTATGATTTTATTTATTTATCCGCGTGTGTATTAAGTTTTTTCAAGTTTTTTTAGAGATAACAAAAACTTCTGCAAAAGACAATACAATATTGTGTAACTCCGCATGCGCCGCCGGTGGACGCGATTAATCGCGCTAGTCCGGCACGAATTAATTGTCGACATTGATGATTTATCGCGGCCCGTCTCGCCGCAATATTTTAGCCGCGGATATTTTTCCCGGCCGGTTTTGCGCTTCGCTAACCTATCTACCCTTACCCTTCCTAGCTTTTCTGCCGGAAAGAGGAAGAAGCTTGCTTGCTCGCGCGCTCTCTTTCTCCGACACTCGGCGGAATCATTTCTATGAGGAAACTGTAACTCAACTCCGCGTCTTGTTTGTTTCTATTTTACAGAAGCTGCAAACAATCGGGGAGGATTTCTGCGGTCTCGACGTGAACACGCCTTTGGGCGGCGAAGAACCGATGGGCGCGGTCGCAGTTCTAACGTTCGAGACTCATCTGACGGCCGTGGCGGCCACTTCAACCGGCGACTACACCGTTGTTTTCGTGGGCACTTACAAGGGGCATCTCAAAAAGGTCAGTGTGCTCAATCGACTTGATACTCCGATATGTTTGTCGTTGAAAACCAGTTGACATTTGGCGAGGATATTTCGCGAGGAGAAACTTTATTTCCATTGTTTTTTAACAACGGTGTGTGAAAAAAAAAAACGCGAAGTGGTTAAAATAACATGGGATCGACAAATTGACGCGCACACAATCAGAATGTCAGATTGATAATGATATATATAGATTATTATTTGTGGTCGCGCTATAATTATATTCAATTATCTCAACCGTCCAATATATTTGGTGAGAATGTGTATCGAAGCTACCACATCATATATTTGTGGTGTTGCATTAGTATAATTATTATACATATATATATATATATATATATACACATATGTATAAATTGCGGTTACATATAAATAAATATCTACGCGCGGTAATCAGCAATTATAAAGATCATCGATTAGCAAATCGCAGTTCGACGCCCAACCAATGCTCTTCGGAGTTTCCGGCATTGAAGGTAAGAAGTTCAGTAACCCCGGAATAACCTAACGGGGCGAAACAGATCAAATGGCAAAGTTCACCAGTCACATACGTGCGTATGTGTATGTAGGTGCACCGCATATCGGAGTACACACTATCGCATATATATATATATATATAGTCTTCCTTCATCGTCGTGGCGATTAATTAATCGCGATTGCTCGAAACAACGCGATAGATCGCCAAGCGAAACTTTTTTTACAAACTCCGCCAACGTTTTTGCAATCCTACTTGCACAAGTATCGATCCGCTACAATTTAAATCTATTCAAAAACGTGAGGTTTTTGAATTCCATTAGTTCTTTTTTTCTCGCACAAATATTTTTAAAAGAATATCGTCATTGATAATTGTTTTTATCGATTATATCGATTAGATCTTTTCAACATTTCGTAAATATCGCGTATAAATTATCTAATCTAACCGGAGACGAAAAGGAAATGCGTACTCATTCGCGCGCGCAATTTCGAGCGGCGCGCGCAGTCATCGTTCTCTCAATAGGGAAAGTAGCGATAAATACAGTCAGTCGCGTCCGTATCGCACAGATATAATAGTATTTATAAAGATTATCACATATATGTATATATATATAGCAGAACTCTCACAAGCGCGCTTGTGTATATTTATACGCGCTTACGTGCATTTTCTGTATTTACGCTGCGATAGATACACAGTTTTTACAGTGCAACATATCATACGTAATATATCTTGTTATAAATTTATATTATTTACGGCACCGTAAACGTGCGAAACATTTCTATCCGTTAGCTCTCTCTTTCTCTCCCGAGATTTATCAACCTCGTAAAACGACGACGTGCACCACTACTGATTCGGACAGTTAACACGTTTGAAAACGGTACATCTAGAAGCCGCGAGTGGCTCGTGATTCCGTTCTTTTAAGGTTCGCGACTTGTGCCTCCATCTTGTCGTTTCATACGGAAAACTTATTAAGATAAAACTTATTCCCGGCGAAGATCTCGTTAAATATTTATTTTCAAGTGCCCCCGTCAGTTTTACTCGATAAGGTCATAAATTGCTAATTTTGCTTGATAGAAATAAAAGAGACGCGCGCCATATGTGTACGAATGTGGCGCGATGACAGACTAAAGAAAGAGAAATAAGAACGTGGTTGTCCTCCCCTCGTCTCGATGCATCTTGTATAATTTATCGATCGATCGGATTTCGGTTTTTACCGTTCCGTTTGTTCCCGCGCGCGCGCGCGCGACCTACTGAAGCTAGAGTATTTTCACGTGAGACACGTGGCGATATATGACGACGCACGTGTGTTCTCAGTCTATATATCACTCCTGCTTATTAATATTAATATTGTACGGACGATATCAGTGATTGGATCGGAACGGTAGTTCACTTTTTACTAAGCGCAAGGGTAGAAACGGATTTTTAGAGAGAGATTTGATCTGTGATTTTTTATCTAATGATTTCACAGATAATTCAAATGTATGCAATTGTTATATTTTGTGGTTTGGAAATGTGGAATCGATTCGAATAGAAAAGCACACCTGTTATGAAACTCTCTGTGTTGACACGGACTTTTGTCGATGTGTTACACGTATCTAAATTACTGTTCAGAATTACGGTGGAACAATTTTACTATCGTTGACAGATAACATTCCCCAATTACATAACAACACAGCTTATCAATTATATGTCAATGTTATTGGAAAACTAAATTACTTGCGCTTCGCCAATTGATGTATCGATATATATATATATATGTATCGATATATATATATATATATATATATATGTATATATATATATATAAAATAACATAGGATATATATATATATACGTATATATATATATGTATATATATACGCGATGTGTAGCGCGATACAATTGACAAAAAGCAGAGATTTCTCATGACCGGTGTTACGCGAATCAACCGCCGATGAACTTCGCGGCGCCGGATGAAAGTTTTTCGCACGAGTGCATCGACTCGCACGGGTTAATTATCGGCCGGTCTGGTGATTAATAATCGCATCGACATTGTTTATCATTGCGATGATCACCATTGTGACGCGGCCGCGGCGAGATATTTCGTCCGCGATCCCGCGGCAGGGGCTGCGAAAAGATGCCGCCTTTACCGAAGACCGAAGCGCGAATGCGGCGAGCAATGATTCATGACTCGTCCTAATCCCGGAAGGTATTAATTAATGATCGCGTCCACTCATACATATATATGTATATAAAACGTGCGCGATCGAATGCGGACCGGCACCTCTTGGGTCATACCGTGGGGTCATCCCATCGGGTATTTATACGTACAACACTGGCAGTCACCGTGTGAATGCGCCGGTAAATAACCTTTCAATGTACTTTCGGATCGGAACGAGAGTCGGCGTGTATACCCCGCACATAATATAACATGCTCAAGTCTTCGAAGATTATTGACTCGTTGGCGTATTGTGTAAGAGATTTGTGCTGTTTAGTAATAGGTCAAAAATTTGCGGAGTAGTTTTAGTAATTAATTTTTTACGCTATTTAAATCTTTATAGAAGATACAGTTGGATGAGATTGATATTGTGACTTTTTTAGAGATTAATTTTTTATTTGATTATTTACGATTAAGATTGACACATTGTTTCTCTTCTCTCTCCCTCTTAAGTCTCTGCAGTTGAACAAATAAACTATTTGTTTATTTATCTACTTATCTATCATACACTTTAATTTTGCGAGCAATTTTTTTGCAAATAAAAGTTTCGCTTAATTTATATATACGTTCCGTATACTTTCGCTTAATTTATTTACATTCCGTACAGCAATTTTGTTTGTACAGCAATGTTTTGTTGTTTTTACGATTACATATACGTATGTTTAAATATGAAGGACTTTGCGGAGTTTGTTCTTCCTATTAATCAACGCAGCTTTCCTAATTAACAGGTTCTAAGACGTTTGACGGTACGCAGTTTCTCTCCGAGTTCAGTTACCCCTGGTTATAATCTTCAATAGAGAGTCTCCCGTGTTTCGAGTCTGTTTGCCGGCTAATTGCCGACGCATCCGACGTCGCGATCTCTTAATTAATACGCAGATCTTAGATCCCACTACGGTCTCGCAGATATTGAGTGCGACAACGAGCCGATCGATTGATCGGTCGTCGCGGTTTCCGAACGTTGTCGAGAAACCGCTATACGGCTGCTTCGCTGCTGCTGCTGCTGCTGCAGCAGCAGTAATTAACGATCGCATGCCGGTTCTCCTGCGCGTTTAACAACTGCGCGACTGACGTTTATGGTAGCGATGGCATAACTATTGGAAACTGTCTTTTACGCTCTCTCTTTTTCCTCTCCGGTATAATTATTAGAAATACAAGAGGCGCATGCGCGTAACGAATAGTGTTGCGAAGCTTCATTTACGGACGTACATCAAATAAGTTCGTATCCGCAAGTGTAGATTTTACAAGATTTGAAAATTCTATAATGTACATATCGGTAGGTATCGATTCTCCGATTAATCGCATTTTCTAGAGACGAGAAAGAAAAACACGGACGGATTCGAAATACATACATAGGTGCTCTTGTCTCGTAATCGGAACGGAATCGACTATGCATCCGGTAAGCGCGCGCAGACAGACGTGATATGTTTTATCGCGAAATGATGGAAGTTGGATGGACGGAGGGTCTTCGGGTCGAAAAGTCATAGAGCGTGATTGGATAAAATTGTTTGATTTTCCGATATCCGATATAGCCGGAGTTAACGCCGAATTTTTGTCGAAGCGTATTGCACAGAAGCGGGGGTATACGGTTATACGGTTCCCATTACACACATTCTGCATTTTCGAATAAAATGTTCATTACATATTTCTTCGTGCAAGCGAGGAGCTCCGATCCGTAAATCACGCAAAATCCAATTTTTACATATCCGTATATAGTTGCGAATTTACGACTCTTCGATCTTTTCGACAAAAAAAGAACCGTCAAATCGAATGCAAACGTCAATATCTTTTATGCGATCGTTCCTATCCTCCTTTTTTTTTTTTCGCTGACGTTGCACCTCGTTAGAAGATCTCCGAAAGGGAATTATTTCTACGAAGTTAAAAACGGTTGTCTCTCTCTCTTTCTTTATCGAAACCCTCTCTCTCCCTTCTTGTGGTGGGATTCGAGATTCATATCGTGCGGCATTTGCACGCGATAAGGCAGCGCGATTTTCCGAAAATTCTCGCACACAGAATTTGGGTTTGGACGTAACGGCGATTTAATCAGTCATAGCTGTTACGAGGATAGGCCGGCACAACCGCGCTGGATTGTAGATTAATTCCAGCGTCCATCAATCGACGGTTTCTCTATACGGAGGATTACGATTAATAACGGCAACGTTTAGGGGTTTCGATATGAATAATCGTCTAATGTGTACGCGCGTTTCTATTTTGGAAAATAAAAAATTAGAAACAAAAAAATACACGTTGAGGTTTCAAATTAAAAACAAGTAATATACGTATGACACACACGCGAATGCGAGCAAATTCGTCA